GCTTCAGTTTTTTTTCATTATAACGCGTTGATTCTGTAATTATGGAGCAGCAACAGACAGAAAATGCCACAAAATGGTTACACACCCTACACTTTAATGAAATAGAACCAAGTATATTTAATTGCTTAAATAAAAACAAATACTTTGCCCACCACAAGGTACCGGCGTACACTTTTTTTTCATTATAACGCGCCAATTCGGTAATAATGGCATAGCAACAGACGGAAAATGCTGCAAAATGGTTACACACCATAAACTTTAATGAAATAGAACCATTTTGAAAGCTTTTGTTTTACCTTAGCCATAAAAATAAGAATCGGCAGCTCAAAAATGACCTCTGTTATTGTATAAGTGACTCACTCTTGGCTAAGTCAAACCAGGAGTCATAGAACACTAACAAAATGCTTATTTTGTCTGTATTTGAATGTGAGAATGATTTTATAATAAAAGAATGGCTTTTGTTTGTCTAATAATGGAATAATACATTTGCTTGAAACTTGCACGCCTGACATCACATCTTGATACAGACAACTTTATCAAAAAGACTTTGTTCTACTGAAAATAAATTGATTCGCTTACGACTCAATTCTGGTTGCTTAATATGCCTAAAAAGGAGAAAAGCGTTTGGCTGTAAAATAATCTATTTTCTGTCCTGATAAACCAGAGGAGTTACAGCCTGATTCAAGCTGCGCTGCGTCGAGCATAGAGGATTGGAAGTCACACGTTGTCTGTTCAGTTCACCAGGACGAGGCCAAGAGTACAATTATTGATAACCTGAAACCACTGCACATGCTGCTCATAGTGGACTTGGCCATGAAGTTCATTCCAACCAGTTTTTGGGAAACGCAGCACGACTGGTTTGGAAAGAAGGGGACAATTTAGAATCACCAATTAACCTCAACATGTTTTTGGACTGTGTGGGAGGAAGCCGGAGAACCGGGGGAGAACCCTAGCTGCACGGGGAGAACATGCGAACTCCATGCAGAAAGATTCCGGTGCCCCCACCGGGACGCGAACCAGCAACCTTCTTGCTGCGAGACAACAGTGCTAACCAACTGCGCCACCTTGCAGCCCGTGTCCAAAAACATGCTGAGGTTAATTGGTGATTCTAAAATTGTCCTTAGGTGTGAATGTGAGTGTGCCTGGTTGTCTCTCTGTAAGTATAACCCTGTGATAGACTGCAGACTTGTCCAGGGTGTCCCCTGCCTTCGCCCTAAGTTAGCTGGGATAGGCTCCGAGGTAGGCTCTGAGTTTATTAAATATCAGATTAAACAGACACCAAATAGAGGGAGGAAGCTAAACTGAGGGGAAAGCGAAACAGAGAAAACCAGAGTGACTTCACAAAGGGGGTCAAAACTACAAAAAAGGGGAAAACCTAAGAAATCTCAAGATAAAAATAAAACTAAGCTAAACCAACAAAATGGGGATAGGGGACAAAAAGTGAAGGGGGCAGACAGGCTCGGGGAATCCCGGGTCTGATGAGGGCTGGGGAAAGCTGGAGCGGGGCTGGTAGCAGGTACAGGCTGGTTGAGGCAGGATTGGGGCAGCGAGTGCGTCGTAGTTGCAGGGGGCTTCAGGTGGTGGTGGCTCAGGGAAGGCAGGCAGGAGACCAGGTTTCAATGTCTATGGTCTGGCAGTGAGAGGTGGAATGAGCTGGGTCTTTATGGGAGTGAGATCATTGCAAGCAGGTGAGCTGATCCCCACATCTGTCTGCAATACCTGTAACTAAGCAGGCTGCAAGCAGGGCTGGATGGACTGAGGGGGCAAGCAAGGAGGAGAGAGAGGCAGAGAGACGGAGGGAGAAAAGAGGGAGAGGAAGAGAAAAAGAAGGAGACAGGCAAGGGCTGAGGCTGGGAGGTCATGACAGTGCATGAGCTACAAACTGGCATGTTTGTGCATAGTTCTGGCTGGCACGCCATTAAACTCTGGGAGGAGATGAAAATGCCTGCAGACAGAAGTGGAAACATCTGTGAGACAAAAATGTCAAGGCCTTGAGAAAGCTGATGATGCAGGTGATCTAGGAGGGTGTTCATGCACACATCCCACTGTTAAAATGTTGGATTGGATTGTACCACAGGACCCAGCTTCCCAGGAGGTGTCAAGAACTCACTAGAAACAGATAGGTGGACACAAATGCTCGACACAGATAGGGTTCAGGCAAAAGGCAGGTTTGTTACTGGTCAGGGTTCAGTACACAGAAGGTCAGTCAACACAGGCAGAGGTATTCAAAAAACAAGAGGTGAGAGTCAAGGTCAAAAACAGAAGCAAGGTTGTAACAAAACAGACTATGACTTGAAGAATGCTGATACGAGGACTTTGAAGTGCAATGAACTGGCAACGAGACTGTGAGACACACAAGGTAATATACACGAGGTAATATGGGGAGATGGGAAACAGGTGAGGGAAAGCCATCAGGAAGCAGGTGTGACAAGACAGGTGCAGAAAGTAAATGTAAGACAGAGACAAGCGGTTAGTGATATCATAATAAAAAAAGGAAAGACAAGACATAAAATGTGCACACAAAACAGAAACTTGACAGACATGACAGGAGGAGTGACCTGAACTACTAGTTTTTATATGCCGGAAGACACATTATGAGCAGAATAAGCAGTTTGATGCCATGACTGAGCAAACTACTAATGCCAGTCTCAGAAAAACTTTTCAGACTTCCAGGGTTTCATATGTAATGAGCCTTTGGAACAACTTGCAGGGTAGAACTTTCTATATTATTGTTTTTCTTCAGAACATGTATGGGTGAAACTACTAAACTTCATGTGCTTGTGTCATTTTAATGACATTTAATTAAAACTAAACATAGCTTAAGATTTTTTTTTTCCTATTTTAAGAAAACTACCACTTCTGAATTATACTTACCAAAACATAAAAATTACAATGAACACATGTTGAGCTGCATTCTGTTGTAGTCAACATTCACTTCAGACTGTCATCTCCCCCATTATTGTCATAATAATTTAGCAGAATTAATGGAAACAGAATGAACTGGAAACATTAACACTGTCACACATTAGCATACTAATTAAAATAACATCAAATCCCACAGCACTCATATCCTCACAGTCCTCCCACTCTTCCCACTCACTAACACAGCTCCCTCTGGTCTTCCTCTGACCTCTGACCCCTCCGTGCTGTGATGATGACACTGATTTTATTAATCTGTGGTGCCTTCCGATGTAATTAACAAGCTGGTGCAGTGGATGGAGCTGAATATCAATCACAGGAGTGGTGACAACGTGGGCAGTGGCTCCTCCGTCTTGCCACATGAGCAGACCTGTCCGTCAAATGCAGAGTAGCAGGGATGTGCAGGATGTTAATCTTAACTCCACCACAGAATCTCAGAAAGCTGTCAGCAGATTCCGAGCTTATTTTATGATATGAACTTTAATTATTCTTGAAGCATTTCAGCATTCCACTGTTGAAGTGGTCTTATTTGAGGGTTTGAGTATTTAGGTTTTCTATAAGAGACTCATGTTTCTCTGGAATGAGCAGCAGTGTGTGAAAATGTCAATATGGTTTTTAAGTGTACTGTGTGTTTTAGAGCAGGGACGACTATTGTTGACCTTAGTATTATTGACTTTAAAAAGTGCTGAGTGTCCTACGGGAACATTTTTGTTCCATCCATCCATCCATTATCTATACACCGCTCAATCCTCACTGGGGTCGCGGGGGGGCTGGAGCCTATCCCAGCCGACTTAGGGTGAAGGCAGGGGACACCCTGGACAGACAACCAAGCACACTCACATTCCCACCTACGGACAATTTAGAATCACCAATTAACCCATCCAAGTTCAATTTTCTTTCAAGTCCACAGTTTTAGCCACAACAGGTAAAATAGAGAACCAAATGGGAAGTATACAAAGATGGACATCAGCACAGTCACCCCAAAAGATACATCAAAATACTTAGAATCAGGCCAGCTAACAGCCTTCCCTGGGCCCGGGACAAGATTATATTAGATGCCTCATCCCCC